GAAGCCAAATCTGGATGATTTGGACCCAATTCTCTCTCTTCTATTTCCAATGCCCTTAAGAAACAAGCTTTTGCTTGTTCGTGTTCACCAAGATCACCGAGAGTATTTCCTAGATTGCTCAATGTGGAAGCCACCTCTGGATGATTTGGACCCAATTCTCTCTCTTCTATTTCMAATGCCCTTAAGAAACAAGCTTTTGCTTCTTTGTGCTTACTAAGTTTACCGGKACTATTTCCCAGATTATTCAATGTAGAGGCCAAAGYCGGATGATTTGAACCGAAAACCATCTCTTCAATAGCCAGCGCCTTCTCGAAATTTGATTTCGCTTCTTTGTATTGACCAAGATAATCAAGGATGTTTCCAAGATTATTCAATGTCGAAGCCAAAGCTGGACTATTTGAATCAAAAACACTCTCTTCAAGAACCAATGCCTCCTCTAAGCAAGCTTTCGCCTGTTTGTATTGACCAAGATCACCTAGCGTTAATCCAAGGTTATTCAATGTAGAAGCCATAGCTCTAGGATTTCGACCAAAATCCTTTTGAATAGTCAATGCCCTTTCAAAACAAGTTTTCGCTTCTTTATGTTGAYCAAGCTTACCGAGACTGCCTCCTAAATTATTCAATGTAGAAACCAAACCTGGATCATTTGGATCGAGAAACCTCTCTTGAATAGTCAATGCCCTCTTAAAGCACTCTATTGCTTCTTTTTGTTTATTACCAAGATGTTGGAGGCTGTTTCCTAAACCATTCAATGTAGAAGCCAAAGCTGGATGATCTTTACCGTAGATGTTTTCTCCTATCATTAAAGATAYCTSAAAAAGACTGCGCGCCTCTTCATATTTACCATGTATTTTACAGATGTGTCCGGTCGACAACAGGCACTTTGACAGTCCATTGTCCTCCTCACCAAATTTTWTTTTTAGTTTCAAATCTGGATTTTTGAGACAAAGGTTCAGTTTGCTTGAGAAGTGCACGAAATGAACTACTAGGGACTTTGTTGCCATTATATCATTACAGTTGTTCTCGTCAAAGGAATTTAGTAAAAGTGTCGAAAAGGCTTGAATTACATTCAACAAGAAATGCAATTTTCCAATTTCATCCATACTTTGCTGTCGTAGGATAGTATTTAGACATGCATGCACTACTTGATGCACACATATTTCTTGTGATTGACCTTCAAAAGAAAGAATGAGTGAAGATGAGGTTACATTGGCAGCCACAAGTTCTTTGTCTTCATCCGGCATACTCCGTGTTACGTACTGGACGATATATTCTAGTGGTATCGTTTCGGGAGCCATGGCAGACAAGAATTTAAAAGCATGTAGCATAACCGCATCTTCTGCCAGTTCTCTTTCTATGGCCAACTTGACTGCTGCTGTCATCGTTTGGGTATACGNATTTCATCCATACTTTGCTGTCGTAGGATAGTATTTAGACATGCATGCACTACTTGATGCACACATATTTCTTGTGATTGACCTTCAAAAGAAAGAATGAGTGAAGATGAGGTTACATTGGCAGCCACAAGTTCTTTGTCTTCATCCGGCATACTCCGTGTTACGTACTGGACGATATATTCTAGTGGTATCGTTTCGGGAGCCATGGCAGACAAGAATTTAAAAGCATGTAGCATAACCGCATCTTCTGCCAGTTCTCTTTCTATGGCCAACTTGACTGCTGCTGTCATCGTTTGGGTATACGYTCTGCTGATTTTTTTATATWCTCCTTCAGTCGCTTCTCTCTTGCCTTGTTCAAGCTTTTGCAGGTATTGTTGCCATGAGAACCTTGGTGTGGTCTTGCGTACACATTTCATGTAAGTTGCAGCACATGCAAGTGCTAAAGGTTGCAAATCAAGAGTTTTGGCAACTTGAGTTGTGACTTCGTCATCAGCAGCCATGTCAGATATCACCAAAAGCGTACCCATCGCTTCATCAAGATTCATACCGCGACTAAGAGATATATGGTAAGTGTAAGAATCATCAGGAATGGATCTACTGTCTTGAGTGGTAACCAGTATCTGACCTTTGCCGTCAGTCTTTTCTCCTGCCTCTAGCAAATATCTGAAAACCGATTTCAGATCTGTGACGTTATCCACGATCAGGAGCCATGAGGAATACTTTCGCAATTTTGGAGCTACAAGACGTTTAAGATGAAAAAGTTTGTCTTCCTGGGAGAGATCCGTTGATGTACCAATATTTGTTGTAGAATTCTCATCGCACTTTAGGCTTACAGCAAACTCTACATACGATTCTATTAATCTGTCGATAGATGATGCATTAAGAGTGAAAACAAATTTTACTTCTGTCTCCTTATCAGGAACATCATCAAACACTTTCTCACCAATCTGCCTTGCTACTTCACTTTTGCCACAGCCAGGATTCCCAGACAGATATATTACAGTTATCTCATTAGGTTTAGTATTTYTCAACTTTTCCATTTCCTGTAATATGTTCTTGGTTTCTTTTTCACGRTAGGAAACTTCATGGCTGGGTTTGGGYGGCAAAACGCAAAAAGCTTCTGGTTCCTCGTTACGCATCTTTTCCTTTTCTAGCAGTTCCTGAGTGACACGAAGTTCCTCTATAGGAAACGTKTTCTGGTTTCTAACTTCCTCGATATCAGCTGTATCAAGATGTAAGGTAGCAAACGCAGTTTTAACCGTATTCATAGACGTTTGGAACTTGTGYTCAGTTAACTTGCCAGATGATAAATGGCCAAAGACTTCATTACGGATTAAACGTAAATCATTCACGGCTTTCTTTACACCGGAATCGAGATCTTTCCCAATAGCATTCGAGTGAAGAATGGCGAAGAAAAGACGGGTACAGTCCCATTCAA